ATAATTTAGTGCTTATTTGGTCTCTTGTTTTGCGCCGTTATATGCAATGAAAGCTACGAAAGAGACGAAGACCTGGAGAGTAGTGCCTCTGAATACGACTTATCGGTGGCTGAGACCAAAGCGGGCGGAGTAAAGGCTGCGGGGGTTGCCGTTGCGGGCGCTAAAGGGGCCAAAGCCGGTGCCGCCGGCGGTGCAGTGGCTGCTAAGGGAGGGAAAGCAGGTTTTGCGAAGGGGGCCAAGAAAGCTGGTTTTGCCGCCGGAAAAGCTGGCGGTGCCGCGGGTTTCAAGAAGGGTGGAAAGGCTGGTGCCGCCGGAGCTGCAGGCGCTAAGTTCGCTAAGGGCTTCAAAAAGGCCGCCTTTGCCAAAGTAGGAGGTGCCGGATATAACAAGAAATTCGGTGTCGTCAAGAAGTTTGGTATGAGTCAGGGATTTAAGTTTGGAAAGGCTGGCGGAGTGTTTGCTGCGGGTGGGGCTGCCGGTGCCGCCGGTAAGAAGGCAGTTGCTGGTAAAGCTGCCGGTGCCGCTGGCTTTAAAAAAGGTAGTTTTCTATAGATTGAATATTTTGTGGTATAATTTAATTGAAATTGTCTGAACTACAGGTGCGAAAGCAGGAAAGGCCGGGTTCGGTGCGGCAGCCGGAGCTAAGGCAGGAAAGGTTGGTAAAGCCGCTGGAAAGGTAGCCTTTAAGAAGGGCGCGGCAGCCGGCGCTAAGTTCGCTAAGAAAGCCGGCGCTGGCGCTGGAAAAGGACTCATCGGTTAAATTGATAGCTCAAGTAATACTGTATTTTAGTTTATATTACAGCAAAACATTTCATGTAATTTAAAACAAATTCTCTATTTTTAGAAATCACTTAAATAATTATCTAGCATATGTACTGTACTGTACTGTATAGATACCGTAAACTTCAAACTCTGTTAGTTACAGTTATTAACAAATTATATTGTATTGTAAAATAAACATTAATTATTATATAATTTTCAAAAATTTATTTGTTTAAAAGTTATATTTTTCAAATAAAAATATTAAACATTAAATTAATTCATTAGTTCTTATGCTAACAAGTTAAATGAAAAAAATATAGAAAAATGGTTTGATGATTTTTTATAACAAATTTATCTACAATATAGTTTACAATAGAGGCACTTGTTTAAATCACTGTATTGTAACAAACTTCAAATGTTTTTCAAATATTTCAGTTATTTTGACAAAAGATTTGTTTAGAGATAAGTATTTTAGGTTAACGTGAACTGAAAACTAACTTACACTGTAATTATTTTGTGTAAATACTTAATATTTTGTGTAGCTGTGAAACATCCGATAATTACACTTAAATATGCAATAATTAACTATCAGTTTACCATTGATTACCAATAGTTAAGTTAAGTTTCAAATGAAAATTATTGTGTTTTTGTTGTTTTTCTTATAAAAATTAAACTTGAACTTAGCACAGTTGTGTGAAATTAAATACCTATAAATACAAGTACGATATTCATAGAAAAAAATTGTTTGAAATATTCTAACAATATTTTTGAGTAGAATAAACAGTATTTTAAAATTCAGTGAATATGGATTTCTTATTAAAGGCAAGCAATCCATTACTTTATAATAACTATTATATTGAATTTATTACAAGAT